TCAAAAGGCCAAGCACACGCAACTAGCTTTAATTATGAAAAAATTACATACGTCTATTCTTTAAATAGTTAATATCATTTTCGTTATATCAGTGTATTTACTTATAAGTAAGTAAATAATTTGGTCAAAATCAATTTTCTATATTAGAAAAATACTTTTTCTGTAACACTTTTAAAATCCTTTATTTCTCCCATTCGTTTTTAGCCCAGATGCCCGTCAATCAATGTATTCGCTTACGAATCCCAATCCTTTCTAGAGGGTAAATCCTAAAATTTCATCCTTCGTTTCATTTTGGGTTAAAGCAGCACAATTACATTAAACACCCAGAGTATGTATAAACAAACGATGATTCAATCACCCAAATATACGTAAGTGGCAAAAAAATTACAAAATTTTCTTTTAATGACGACCTCAAAAACAATTTATAATTAAACATGGCTGACAAAATAGTACGATGTCACCAATGGAAGAATCATCGCATCTTCACATTCCGCTATGTCATATTTAACAATCAGAAGAAATTTAAATAAATCACTCGTCTTTGCATTGTTGAAATGCAAATAAATTAAGATTAAAGAGAGTTTCCATTCAGATAAGGTCTCGTATATATGCCATACTTCGTTTCTTTCAATTAAAAATTTTTTATGCCCATTACAAAGTTGAGATTTTCAATAGTCTACTTGCCTTAATTCAGGAATGATCGGTATTATAATAATTTACATCTGTTCGGGCCTTCAAAAAGAGGAAATGATCCTTTTATTATCCTAGTTTCAACTGGAGTATCCTGTGCAGTGGCCTGCATCTTCTCTACTCCCTCAGAAATTTCTTGCTTTTCCATTTCAGTATTAAAATTAGTTTAGTATGTTGTAACTAACTACACGTAAAAGTATAAGAGTTCTACGAATAATCTTACCAATTGTTTGGTTACCTTCTCCTTGAGCAGATGATTGATCACCATCTACAGGAAAATAACCATCAAACTGAAATGTGAATACAGTATATACAAAATAATTTTCTATAATATCTTTGATAGGATTTACCAACAATTCACACAACAATTATTGTGTTTTAATTACTTGTAAAAATGTAATTGCAACAGCACATAGCCTTATGAGATCCCTCTGAAATGAAGTGTGGCGTAAATGTTTCACATCTCTTCCAGAAGCCATCAAAATTTCACAGTAATGATTGAAAATACATGTTTACAAATTTTACAACCCTTATTTTATCCGGGGAGAGAGAACATCAAGCATCAGATTTGATTTGTTACTTCATTATTAGAGGCATCACTCAGAAAATTTGTAATTTACAAATCTTTAAATTTGTTGTAAGTTTCTAAAATTTATTTAAACTATATTACCTTAATCATAGTTTAAATAAATGTAAAGAGGTCCATAAATTGCATAATATGTATACGGTGGATGGGTATGCAGGTAATCAGATGCATGAAAATGGGTGGAAAATTTTAAAAAGCGTCACGTAATTTTAGAATATCAATCCTTGGGTAACAATGATTCATTTTTGTTACTGAAATGTTGCGTAGCCTTGCTCATTTACGCCACTGCCTTGTACTATACGTTATACACCTAATAAATAACGAAACGTTCGACACCCCGTTCTATCGCGTAATTTTTAGCATGGGTACGTGCGACGGCGTTACGGTGCGTAAAAAATGCTGAATAGCTGTTAAAACGTAAAAAATTGTGTTATAATTTATAGATGATCCCAAACATTATTACAGGCAATACGCTTTATTTTTGAGATACAGGAGAGTCTAAAAAAAGCTATAAGTGCAATGTCGAAGTGAAGGACATAACGAGTGTTACGTGATGAAACGTAAACGTTACGTTAGGTTTCATTTAATACTTCATTAGATTAATTCGACAATGGGAAATGTGTTAGCTAATGAAAGGAAGAGGTGTGCCATGCGGGGACCCTTTCCTTTTATTACTTGTATCTAGACATTATCCATCGACGTCATCTTTATACATGTAATTCAATACGTTTTGCCTGAATATTAAACAATATATGAACCTTCATAAATAAAAAACATTTTTAATCCCAAAAAAATCGGGTTAGTCTTTTCCGGGAAAAAACGTCACCCGTTCCTTCTAGTCACTAATCAGTCCTCTCTACAGATTACGGATACAATAGAAAACTAATCAAGTGTTCTTAGCTAATAGGCAGAACCATTCATTTCTTTGGAGAGTTCATACGGTAATGATGATCCTCATACGATAATATTCTGGACTAATCCTTTGTGTTTACTTTTACGATTAACAAATAAATAACTTCTCAAACATATAAAGGAAGGTACCTATTTTTTGTTAATAGGCTACAAGTAGAAGTTAGTCAATATTAATGATATTAACACTAACTTTTATAATTCACGTGGTCATCGTCTAACACATGTCCACTAGTGGAATTCACCATCTTGATTTTTAAAATACCCTTCTTACATTTATAAAAACTTATTATTCATAATTCAAACATATTTAGGATTTAAATATTTGGTTAAATTATATACAGTAGACCCCTATAAAACGGGTTTATATAATACAAATTCGTAAATAAAGGCGATAAAATTGCGATCGTATTCTTATAATCAGGCTAAAAGAGACTCGTATAATACGGTAAAATGTCAACGCCGACTCGTGTCGCGACAGGAATGGTCGAATCTAGACCAATAGCGGATATTACACAAACTGTTAAGTTTAGTTCACATTGGGCGCGATTCGCTAGCGAAAGCGAAAAACAGAGAGAATAACCCGTCACACGAGTCATGTTTGAACGGTTATTCGCTCTGTTTTTCGCTTTCGGTAGCGAATCGCACCCAATGTAAACTAAGCTTTAGGTTTAAACGAGCAGCGGACCTACTAAAAACCATTTAAACGGAAATAATAATTATATTTATATTAATGTCGTCTCCAAAGTTGTCTCCAAAGCTTGTTTTCTGCCGCGAAGCAGCGCGACGAAAACAAGCTTAATTAAGCAATGGTGTCGTCGAACGCTGGTGCACACTCGGTAAGTAATCTTACAATTTTTTGTTTATAGCAAAGTTTATATGAATTATTTCCAACAAATTATACGTGTTTTGAAAATGTTCAGTCAAATTAGTCTAGAATCGATTTAATTAATTTTATGGAAGAAAACATTTCAAACAGCTGTAGTCCCTAAACTGCACACGTGCCGGCCTGTAATTGACTCATGTATTTAAGTGACTGGTAAAACACGGAATTCATATAGAAAGGAACGTGTCTACCGTGTTATAGAGAAGTCTACTGTATAACATAATTACAATTGACATTTTGAATTATTAAATAGAATATTATAAATTATTTACACATTTAATAACAATAAAATCTGTTTCGAACTAAAATGTATAATTTTATAACCATTTTGCCTGTATTTTACAACATAACTCTTTATTCATATTTACAACACAAACTTTCTAAAAGTTTATCAAACGTAACGTAACTGGAACGTAACTTTAACACGTAAAAGTCGTGCTTGTTCTACTCACTTTCTAATTAGTTTTACGGCCCCATTCTTGACCTTAATTTTAAAAAAATAATAATTTACTTTCAAAACTTACTTTCTGAATCACTATTGTCTTGCGGCAGTTGACGTTCCTTCTCCATTTTCGTCCCTCTGAACAGATTCAAAGTGACTCCTACAAACAGTGAGATACACGCTACGTGATTCAAAGTGAACCGTCGCACCATCTACCGACGTCACC